ATGATATATGATATTTTATGATAAGGGGATGATTTACAACCAAAGGATCCTACTAGGCCTACGATCCAAATCGCTAAATCATCCAAGATTATTGATCAATTTGAAGCCGTCCCTTCAGAATCCCTTCCCCCATATGGAAAACAGCCCCCATAATGCCATAAACCATGTTTTGCTGGGGAATTTATTCATATTTCGGACCATAGAATGGAGGTGATTTATCATGAACCGGGGATGGGGATTTAACCCATTGAGGGATGTGGATGCTGCCAACCCGCTTACTAACCAGTTACAAGTAGCTAAATCCCATGGCCCATTGAAATACATTTGGATCATTCATGCTTGCATGTGCATCCCACTTAGTAGGTGGTTTAAAATTCATATACAACCCATATTTCATCCCATATATTAGGGGATATTCCACATATATATATAATTATAAATATATAGCTATATATATATATGGGGGTATAACTGATTTACTAAGTAGGGCCCACACCCCCAAGTGGGGTAAATGTTGGCAAAAAATCCAGCAGCAGACGGACATAAAAATTGTCTAAGTGGCCAGAAGGTGGAAACTCAATGGCCAAGGAAGGTCCAAACCTCCACGACCAGGGCTGACATTTTTTGTTTTTTTTTGGGGAACAAAAAAGCGACGTTAATTAAAACTATCAACAAGCCCAGGTGGTATCCCTAGGAGCAAAAGCTGATAGCAAAGCGTGACAGCAACCAGTGAACACTGTGAACACCATTCCAGTTTCTAGACGGAAAACTGCACCGAACCTCTGTCTGTCTATGCTGAGACGCCTAGCCTATAGAGCCAACGCTGTGAGCAAAAACATGAAAAAACAACCAGTCAAGTTGAACCTTCAGTCTAAGTCTTAAGTTCATTGGATATACCCTCTGGTGAACTAACATAGCAATTGAAAATGGCCATTTATAGTGGATTTTCCCATTGAAAATGGTAATTTTCCATTCCTATGTTAGTTCACCAGAGGGTATTGGCAAATGTTGAGATATATTGGGACAAAATTACGGCCAAGGTTTTCTACCCAACAGCAGGCGCCAGGGTTCGAGGCTTCCAAGCTGGAACCTGCTGTTGAGAATATCCAACTTGTGGTTCGGAAGGTTGATGATTGAAATAAACCCATTGATTCATCCCACTCAGAATTTACCAAACATAGCTTAATCCTGCTGAAAATCATGCTTAGTCATTATTTTCCCATGAAAATACATGACCATGGCCAAATTTAGGGCTTCAAAGACTTCCTGGTTGGTGGTATACCTACCCCTCTGAAAAACTACTCTGAAAAATATGAGTTCATCACTTGAGATGATGACATTCCCAATATATGGAAAATCATAAAAATCACGTTCGTCATCGTCATCGTCATCATCATCATCATCATCATCACCATCACCATCATCATCACCATCACCATCACCATTGCCATTTTTTTGGGGCTTCAAAGACTTCAAAGATGTGGAAAAATCATGAAAAATCCCACCATGATCGAAGCCATATCCGTTGGATCCTGGGCACCTGCCCGCAGCAGCGCGCGCTTGGACACCGCGTCGCCGCTCCCGCCGCACTGGCGCAACACCTGCAGCTGCTGAAGGCCAAGGTGCCAGGACCTGTCGAGCGCTCGGCGATTTTGGGGGGAATCGCCATGGAAAAAAGCCATGGATTTTGTTGATTACCCGGCCTGGTCAACTACCAGTTTGCGAACTTGGAAATTGCCATAGAAATAGTGAGTTTTCCATTAAAAATGGTGATTTTCCATAGTTATGTTGATTTAAACCCATCAAAACCCATGGAAAATTGGTGATTTTATGGTGGCTGAATGGTGATCTAATGGGATTTACCCTCTGGTAATTTGTTACATAGCACTTGAAAAGGGCCCACTTATAGTTGATTTACCTAATAATGATGGTGATTTTCCAGTTCGCTATGATGGTTTACCAGAGGTCAAACCCATAAAAAACCCATGAACTGAAAAACATGGGATAAAAAATAGGTCTTCTATGGGGAAACCCTATGAATGACCATAAAACTATAGGGATTTAAGTTGATTTAACCATTAATGAAACAGGGTGGATATGAAAAATGTATGGGATATAAACCATGTATATTTCAACCAAGAAATTCTTGGGTATGATTTTTCAGCATGAAAAATGGTGGATTCAACTGGTTTAATCTTAAAAGAATAGGTGTTCAACCATATCTAATCTAACCATTGAATCATGGATTTGAGTTTGTTTTGAAAATGTGGAAAGTTGGACTTCGACTTCAATCATGTCTCCCTTCTTTAATGATAAAATCACCATTAAAAAAAGATATATGTGATGTCTGGTGTAGTACTGTACTGGATCTATTCATCATTTGGTCCCGTCAGTTTAATCGCAGCGCCTCCGTTGAACGTAGGCGGAGATCAAACCATTGAAGCTGAAGAGGTCGGCTTGGACGCTGACGTCTCTCATCTGCCTGCGGCTTCGGTCCTTCGGTCTGGCATTCTCGGGGATAAAACATGAAAAAACATGATACCATCTGGTTATGACTAACATAGCCATGGAAAATCCCTTATAAATGGAGGTTTCTAGCTGGGAAAATCATCTATAAATGGGCCATTTTCCATGGCTTTGTTAAATAACCAGATGGTAAAACATGATGAAACGGAGGGTCAATGGGATTCACATGGAGTTTTTCAATAGCAGGTGATCTCATGAGTGTGAAAAGCGGGCCATACGGCTTTGTCGATGGATGATGGGCCCCTAATTATGGCTATGTGAACGGAAAAACTGGTGGTAAGCCCAAGGATTTCGGGGGGATCCGAAATTTGAGACAACTAGTACAGTTGGTATATGTGGGAGCCATCCCAAAACAACAAATCGTTCAGAAAGATCTTATTAGATCTTATTAGCATATACTAAGCCATACACTACATCCCAATTGCTTTTTGTTGATCCATGTAGGTTAAACATCCAATCGTTGGGTTCACTATGGTTGAATCCCTCGTGGTTGTTGTGATATCTCCCTCCGCATACCAGCTGGTTATTCAACATAGCCATGGTATAGATGGCCCATAGAAATAGATGGTTTACCGTTCTTAATAGCATGGTGGATCTTTCCATGGCTATCTCAAAAATTACTTTACTTCGTGTGATCCCCACCATGACATTTATACATTTTCTTACTGGCAAATCTTCTGGCATTCTATCTGACATATCTTCTGACATTCTATTTTGACATTCTACTATCTGCATATCTTCTGGCAATATGATTCTGGGCATTCTTCTGGCATATCTTCTGGCATTCTATCTGGCAAATCTCTGGCAATTCTATCTGGCATATCTTCTGGCACTCATCTGACATAGCTCTGTCAATTCTATCTGGCAATATCTTCTGGCATATTATTCTGACCATTCTTCTGGGCAAATTCTATCTGAACATATCTTCTGGCATATATTCTTACAATCTTCTGGCATATCTTCTGACATAGCTATCTGGCATATCTTCTGGCATATTTTCCCTTCTGGCTTCTATCTGGCAATCTTCTGGCATTCTATCTGGCAATTCTATCTCTGGATATCTTCTGGCATATTATCTGGCATTCTATCTGGCATATCTTCTGACATGCTTTCTGACATTCTTTCTGACATTCTTTCTAACTTTCTTCTGCACATTCTTTGTCCCATATCTTCCTACATGAGGTCCGGCAGGGAACGCTTGGAGTGGATACTCGTGGTTGAGGTCCGGCAGGGAACACTGGGCGGGGATACTCGCGGTTGAGGTCCGGCAGGGAACACTGGGCGTGGATGGTCGTGGTGAGGTCCGGCAGGGAACACTGGCGGGGATGGTCGTGGTTGAGGTCCGGCAGGGAACACTGGGCGTGGATGGTCGTGGTTGAGGTCCGGCAGGGAACGCTGGGCGTGGATGGTCGTGGTTGAGGTCCGGCAGAGAACACTGTGGATCGCGGGTCGCAGTTGAGCAAGGACGACGAGGACGACGAGGACGACGAGGACGACGAGGAGGACGAGGAGGAGGAGAGGAGGACGAGGCAGGAGGAGGCGGAGGAGGAGGAGGAGAAGGAGGAGAAGGAGGAGAAGGAGGAGGAGGAGGCAACTGACATAAAATCTAACAACCCTCACCTGGCAGGTGGGGAATAAATGGTGATGTTCCATTGATAGCATGGTGATATTTTCCATAGAAATAGACGGTTTACCTATATTAAATAACCACATTGGTACCATGATTTCCCGGATTTCCCCCCATGTTCCCCAGGTTTTGTCGCCTCACGAGTCCCACGGCCGGGCGGAGGGCTTGGCCATTGCACAAGGCACTCAGCAGGCCGTTGAAAGAGACCAAGTCGGACTTCAAGCGCCTGAAGTCACTGGATGACTATAGATATACCTTAGATATATCTTTAATCTGTTGGTAGATATACAATGATATACATATTAGTCTGCAAATATATTGTATTAATTATATATGTGAAATTATATATTCATCAGTATCTAGATGAGATTATATATGAAATTAGGAGTATATTATAAGCTCTATTAGTATATCTATGTCTGTCAGCATATATACACATATCATATAATTCCATTTTATTTGAATATAGGAAGACAGAAATCTTGTTGGATATTATTAAAATCTACAGAATACATCAGAATACGGTATCATTGCATAGCAAACCCCAAAAAACATATTGGTAGAATAGTATTTTGTCACTATTTCAGTTAGCTTTTAGGTTTCCTTCTTTCGGGGGGATATCATATTCTACATGAAGGATCTAGCTATGGCTGTGGCTATGGACTACTGTGTGTGCTACATACGACATCTGTGGAGCCCCATCCAATACATGTCTGTATGAGCTCCATGCAATACCAGTGAATATTGGATGTGTAGGCAGTTGGAAACAGGAACTCGTCAATTTCTGACCCCTCACAAGGTACACTTGTGAGACATAGTGTATGTGTAGATATCGCGTTCCTTTGGAACTGGAAACTTGGTAAGCAGTGTCATCAAACAAGTTCAACATGTTGTGTGACAGTGTATGTCTAGATGTTGCAAGGGAAGAAATGACCACACAAACAAGGTGTATCAGAACATCAGCCACATACAGTATAGAGATTGATATGTTCACATCAAAAAAAGAAACTCGGTATGTAAGTGCGCTTGTCTTCAAACTTTGAAAGGATTTGAATTTCAAACATCTAGTGTAGTGCCGAAAGTGGTTTTGGTTTTGGACTAAACAGAGCCATTTCTAGGCCTATTGGGTTGAAACACCCCCCCAACCTGTGTCATGGGTACCATCCCTGCCTCAAAATGCTCAGGTCGAAGAGATCCAAAGATGCTTCCTGATGCGATGAACAAGTGTCAATGACCATTTCAGGAACCGATTGAGGACGGAGGTACCTACCATATATAAGGCCGAAAAATAAGGCCTAAATTTAAGGGGAATATCACGTTTACGTACCTCCATCTGTTGGATCCTGGAGATCTCCCATTGATCAAAATCTTGGATCGGCCAGAAACTATGTATACTGCGTTGTCTAGATACTGTCAATGTGCCATTGTGACTGTTTTTTCCGGCATACGTCAGCAAGTAGAACTTTTTCTATTTTCATCAGCAGCCCAAGCACAATGACATATACATACCGACGGGATCTCTGCCAACATGTGGTGTATGACATCGTGCCACTATGTACGCGTATACAGATTGTACGCATCATCCTATCCGGCACAAATATCATATGCGGAAACACTGCACATATGTGTTATATACAGATCATAGTATACATTATATTTATTCATTCTATACCTAAAATAGTTTATATAAATGTACTATGTATTAATATAGTTATTTATACGTGTATATATATATATATATACGTATATACTATGCAGTACATCCGTTCACAGTATGTATGTATGTATGTATGTATGTATGTATGTATGTATGTATGTATGTATGTATGACTGTCTGTCTGTCTGTCTGACTGTCTGTCTGTCTGACTGTCCGTCTGACTGTCCGTCTGTCTGTATGTATGTATGCATGTATGTATGTATGTATGTATGTATGACTGTCTGTCTGTCTGTCTGACTGTCCGTCTGACTGTCCGTCTGTCTGTATGTATGCATGTATGCATGTATGTATATATGTTTTTGTTTTTGTTTTTGTTTTTTAATGAATGTATGCATGTATGCATGTATGTTTTTGTTTAATACATGTATGCATGCATGTATGTTTGGATGGATGGATGGATGGATGGATGGATGGACATGTGTATATCAACCCCGGGAATTTAAACCAAGCATCCCAATTGCCCGCGCGCTCGCAAACGCCCAATGCCACACTGAGGGATGTAGCCTGTTGTTTGCTGTGGGGAATCACCATTTCCAATGGGTATCTAGTCCAGATTAATGCCAACACCGGTTTATTAATCTGAGGGGACCACCTGTTTTTAAATTACATTTTTTGGGGGGGGGCAATGGTGGCTGATTAATCGGGAGAGGATTATTAATCCTCACTTGACATTATCTATAAATGGACCATGTTCCATAGCTATGTTAAGAGGGCAAGACAAGCATGAAATTCGCCTGTGGATGCCTGTGGTAATCTAGCCATGGAAAATGCTAGTGGACACAATCGGCAAATCAATGTAAATCATCTACTTTCATGGCCAATTTTACATGGCTATGTAACAGTCATTACCAGCTCGTAAGTTTATTGAAAATCCCATCAATGAAATGTGCTACTCTCCATAAACCCTAGTAAATTCTGATAAATTACTTCCAATTCTATTCAGAATTCACATACTCTCTGGTAAACGTTTACATAACTATGAAAAGTCACCATTTAGTTCGTGGATGAATCAACTATTTCGACTGGGCCATTTTCAATAGCGATGTAACAAATTACCAGAGGGTATGTTTGTTGCCTTAAATCCCCAAGTTTAGATCATCAAATTCATGAAATTCGGCATCCGGCCAGAAAGCTCCCACGGAAAAAGTCCCCAGGCATCCCACCGTGAAATTCGCCAAGAATACGGCTGTAGGCTGTTGAAAAAAGGCAGGGTACCATAAAAAATCTGTATCAGATGAAATGACCATTGGAGGAGTACCCCCCCAAAAAAACATGGTTTAGTCTCATCCAGGGTTGACATTTTGCAAGTTGTTGAAATCAGGTCCCAGCCAGTTGATCTAACTTCGCGAAATTCAGCGATCGTCGATGCCGAAACATCAGCGAAGCTCCCAGAAAGTGCAGTAGGATGGCTATATTCCTCCATTGGCTGCAACTTAACCATACCATACCCATGAATTGACCCAACTTAACTTGACCCAGGGTTCACCCAGCTAAACCTGCCTCTGTTTGGACCTGAAGCTCTTCCATGTTGGAAAGGATCTGGAAGGCGTATTGCCAGTCATCTGCGGCGACAGGGGTGCTACTACACGACAAGGGTAGAAGGTTAGGTCCACTGCTGTCATGGGCCTCGGATAGTAAGCGATTGTGCAGTTCTATACCCAACGTTGTAATGTGAAACCACCATCAAAATGATGGTTCTTTATACTCTCTGGTAGTTTGTTACATAACTATTGAAGCCATGGCCCAGTCGAAATAGTTGATTTACCCACTCAACATGGTGGATCTTTCCAGTTCGTTATGTAAACGTTTACCAGAGGGTAGCTCCCATTAAACCCCATTGAATCCCATTAAACCAAACCACCATAAAATCCCATTAAATCCCATTAAACCACCATTAAACCACCATGTTGCTTTTGTTGAAATAACGGTATCGTTTTGAGTCAACTTAACCCTTCAGATGGTTGAAACGGAGGTTGATCTTCCACTGGGACATCCAATGGACTATGACAGCCTTGCATGTTTCTTGATTTTATCCAGATATGTCCCGGTGTTACACATGCATGTATATATATATATATATACACACTGTATTTGTATCATTTAGAGTTTTATCCGCCGACCCCTGCCTAGCCTTGGCCTAGGCGGGGCGGCGCCCGGGATCACCGTAGGTGTGCAGTATGGCTCGTGCCGGCTTTGCCATTGCCATGGCATATTATATGCTTTCCGCAATTCCAAAACCCTCCAAACCAGCACCACTTGCCATCGCACAACCCTCCGCTTGCTTTGCCATCGTACCTCCCCATCGGAGGTACAAACTGTTTCTTTTGGGAAGCCTCAGCACCGCACAACCCTCCGCTTGCTTTGCCATCGTACCTCCCCATAGGCCCTTCAAACTGTTTCTATTGGGCTTCGAAACCGCTTGCTTTGCCATCGTACCTCCCCATAGGCCCTTCAAACTGTTTCTATTGGGCTTCGAAACTGCTACATGGCACGTTTTGGCCAGGCCTTAAAACCCTCAAAAGCCCCGCAGCAGCTTTCGAAAGCTTCAGCACCGCACAACCCTCCGCTTGCTTTGCCATCGCACCTCCCATCGGAGGTACAAACTGTTTCTATTGGGCTTCGAAACTGCTACATGGCACGTTTTGGCCAGGCCTTAAAACCCTCAAAAGCCCCGCAGCAGCTTTCGAAAGCCTCAGCACCGCACAACCCTCCGCTTGCTTTGCCATCGTACCTCCCCACCACTTGCCATCGCACAACCCTCCGCTTGCTTTGCCATCGTACCTCCCCATCGGAGGTACAAACTGTTTCTATTGGGCTTCGAAACTGCTACATGGCACGTTTTGGCCAGGCCTTGGCACCACTTGCCATCGCACAACCCTCCGCTTGCTTTGCCATCGCACCTCCCCATAGGCCCTTCAAACTGTTTCTATTGGGCTTCGAAACTGCTACATGGCACGTTTTGGCCAGGCCTTAAAACCCTCAAAAGCCCCGCAGCAGCTTTCGAAAGCTTCAGCACCGCACAACCCTCCGCTTGCTTTGCCATCGTACCTCCCCATAGGCCCTTCAAACTGTTTCTATTGGGCTTCGAAACTGCTACATGGCACGTTTTTTTGGCCAGGCCTTCTTTTGGGAAGCCTCAGCACCGCACAACCCTCCGCTTGCTTTGCCATCGTACCTCCCCATAGGCCCTACAAACTGTTTCTATTGGGCTTCGAAACTGCTACATGGCACGTTTTGGCCAGGCCTTAAAACCTTCAAAAATCCCGCAGCAGCTTTCGAAAGCCTCAGCACCGCACAACCCTCCGCTTGCTTTGCCATCGTACCTCCCCATAGGCCCTACAAACTGTTTCTATTGGGCTTCGAAACTGCTACATGGCACGTTTTGGCCAGGCCTTAAAACCCTCAAAAGCCCCGCAGCAGCTTTCGAAAGCCTCAGCACCGCACAACCCTCCGCTTGCTTTGCCATCGTACCTCCCCACAAGCCCTTCAAACTGTTTCTATTGGGCTTCGAAACTGCTACATGGCAGGCCTTAAAACCCTCAAAAGCCCCGCAGCAGCTTTCGAAAGCCTCAGCACCTCACAACCCTCCGCTTGCTTTGCCATCGTACCTCCCCATAGGCCCTACAAACTGTTTCTATTGGGCTTCGAAACTGCTACATGGCACGTTTTGGCCAGGCCTTAAAACCTTCAAAAGTCCCACAGCAGCTTTCGAAAGCCTCAGCACCGCACAACCCTCCGCTTGCTTTGCTATCGTACCTCCCCATAGGCCCTACAAACTGTTTCTATTGGGCTTCGAAACTGCTACATGGCACGTTTTGGCCAGGCCTTAAAACTTTCAAAAGTCCCGCAGCAGCTTTCGAAAGCCTCAGCACCGCACAACCCTCCGCTTGCTTTGCCATCGTACCTCCCCATAGGCCCTACAAACTGTTTCTATTGGGCTTCGAAACTGCTACATGGCACGTTTTGGCTAGGCCTTAAAAGCCTCAAAAGCCCCGCAGCAGCTTCGAAAGATCAGATACGCACACCCTCCGCGGGACTTTGCATCGTACTCCCATAGGCCATTTCAAAACTGTTTCATTGGGGCTTTCTGAAGACTGCCTACATGGCACGTTTGGCCAGGTTCTTTTGGAAGCCTCAGCACTGCACAACCCTCCGCTTGCTTTGCCATCGTACCTCCCCATAGGCCCTTCAAACTGTTTCTATTGGGCTTCGAAACTGCTACATGGCACGTTTTGGCCAGGGGCCTTAAAAGCCTCAAAAGCTCCGCAGCAGCTTTCGAAAGCCTTCGGGCCGCACAACCCTCCGCTTGCTTTGCCATCGTACCTCCCCATAGGCCCTACAAACTGTTTCTATTGGGCTTCGAAACTGCTACATGGCACGTTTTGGCCAGGCCTTAAAACCTTCAAAAGTCCCGCAGCAGCTTTCGAAAGTCTCAGCACCGCACAACCCTCCGCTTGCTTTGCCATGGTACCTCCCCATAGGCCCTTCAAACCGTTTCTATTGGGCTTCGAAACTGCTACATGGCACGTTTTGGCCAGGCCTTCTTTTGGGCAGCCTCAGCACCGCACAACCCTCCGCTTGCTTTGCCATCGTACCTCCCCATAGGGCAGCTTTCGAAAGCATTAGCACCGCACAACCCTCCGCTTGCTTTGCCATCGTACCTCCCCATAGGCCCTACAAACTGTTTCTATTGGGCTTCGAAACTGCTACATGGCACGTTTGGGCCAGGCCTTAAAACCTTCAAAAGTCCCGCAGCAGCTTTCGAAAGCCTCAGCACCGCACAACCCTCCGCTTGCTTTGCCATCGTACCTCCCCATAGGCCCTTCAAACTGTTTCTATTGGGCTTCCAAACTGCTACATGGCACGTTTTGGCCAGGCCTTAAAACCTTCAAAAGTCCCGCAGCAGCTCTCGAAAGCCTCAGCACCGCACAACCCTCCGCTTGCTTTGCCATCGTACCTCCCCATACCCTCCGCTTGCTTTGCCATCGTACCTTGGGCTTCGAAACTGCTACATGGCACGTTTTGGCCAGGCCTTAAAACCTTCAAAAGTCCCGCAGCAGCTTTCGAAAGCCTCAGCACCGCACAACCCTCCGCTTCCTTTGCCATCGTACCTCCCCATAGGCCCTACAAACTGTTTCTATTGGGCTTCGAAACTGCTACATGGCACGTTTTGGCCAGGCCTTAAAACCTTCAAATGTCCCGCAGCAGCTTTCGAGCCTCAGCACCGCACAACCCTCCGCTTGCTTTGCCATCGTACCTCCCCATAGGCCCTTCCCTGAGTCTCGGAAATTAGTAAAAATTACATTTCAAAAATTTAGGTAAATTTTTCGTTTTAGGTGGAAAATTTTAGGTAAATTTTCACCTAATTTTTTTTCACCTAAATTTGCACCTAAATTTAGGTGCAAATTTAGGTGTAAATTTAGGTTGCAACCTAATTTTTGGGATGTATTTTTTTTGGTTTATTTTTGTTCAAAACATATGTTATTTGAACATATATTTTAAACATTACAAGATTGGTTTGATGATGAAATTTGATGGGATGTGCTGTGATTTGTGTCGATTTTAGTCTCGCAAATCACGAAATATGATTGAAAAAGAGCTTACTTGTGTTTTTTTTGTAGTTGTTACTTGTGACTACCCTTGCAGAGTTACTTGTGATGTATTATGATTTTACTGACTCAAGAAAGATTGAAAATGGTTTATCTGCTGAAAATATCATGAAATCAAGTAGGAGACAGGATACACTGTTGATGATTTAATAAGCATGAAACCAAACAAATGGCAAGAGAATAGATTGCAGAGAATCTGTATGATGTTGTTCTTTTCTGGATTGATTGTATATTTTTGGTTTTTTTGATTTAAGTTTGATTTTGGTTTTGAAAGCAGTTTAAGAACTAACATGGAAACTATGTACATTTTGTATATTGTTTGTGTATGTCTTTGTTTTGCATGGTATTAATTTGGAATAATTATCATGTACCTTCTATATAGTTTTTAAATATATTATATGTAGTTTATATAATTTATGTGCAATTTATATGTAGTTTATATGTAGTTTATATGTACTTTTTATGTAGTTTCTATGTAATTTATATGTAGTTTCTATGTAATTTATATGTAGTTTATATGTAGTTTATATGCAGTTTTTATGTAGTTTATATGCACTTTTTAAAAGTGCATATAAACTACATGTACTTTTAAGAAAACTACATGTAGTTTATATGCACTTTTGAAAAGCGCATATAAACTACATATAAACTACATATAAACTACACATACATTTTTTATATTTTCCAATCTTTTTTATTTTATTTTTGTAATTATTTATCTCTGGTTTTGTTTGTTTTGAGTTTTTAAAATGTTGTTGTAGCAAAGTTTCAACTGCAATATTGTACATTGAATACCTTGAGCACAAGTAAAATGATATCAAGTAATGCAAAACTTCAAGATAACAATCATCACACCAAGGAATGCAAACGCTCAAGTAAATTGACTAATCACAAGTAACATGAACTGAAGTAACTCAATCTCACAAGTAAAGTCACTCAACAAAAGTA